AAGGCCATCAATGAAAATATTAGAATATATGCGAGGGCACTAATTCAGGGAATACGCAGACTACCAAACATTTTGAAAACTACACAAACAAAAGTAGACAAAATAGATGAGTGGGACATACTAAAAATTAAAAACTTATGTGCATCAAAAGGCCTCACCAAAAGAGCAAAAAGGGAACCTACAGAATGGGAAAAAATATTTTGCAATGACCCATCAGACAAGGGACTTATTTTTAAAATATATAGGAAACTACAATATCTCTACAAGAAAAAGACAAATAACCTAATTAAAAAGTGGGCACAGGACATGAACAGACACTTCACCAAGGAGGAGATCCAGACAGCCAACAGACATATGAAGAAATGTTCATGATCACTAGCCATCAGAGAGATGTAAATCAAAACAACAATGAGATATCATCTCACACCAACAATAACAGCAAAGATCAAAAAAGTAGAAGACAATAAATGCTGGCAGGGATGTGGAGAGACTGAGACACTCCTGCATTGTTGGTGGGATTGCAAAATGGTCCAACCTCTCTGGAAAGCAATATGGTGCTTCCTCAGAAGGTTGGAAATAGAAATACCTTATGATCCAGCAATTCCTCTACTTGATATTTACGCACAAGAAATATGAACCATAACACGAGTAGATATATGCACACCAATATATAGCAGCACTATTTACAACAGCTAAAAGATGAAGACAGCCTCAACTGAAGAATGGATAAACAAACTGTGGTACATACACACAATGGAATGTTACACTACCTTGAAGAAAAACAAGGAAGCTGCAAGCCACCACATAGCATGGATGAACCTTAAGGGCATTATGTTGAGTGAAATTCATCAGTCACAAAAGGAGAGATACTGCATAGGACCACTACTACAAAATACTAAGAAAAACAACCCATACTAAAGCGGGGGTGGAGGGGAATTCTTTGCTGTTTGTTGGGATGTGGGGGGTGTGGTGAGGGGAGGGAGGGGAAGGTGGAGCACAGGGCAGGAAATAGACACAGGATAGTTTGGGTACTGGGGAAGGGGGCAATATACAAGAAGGGGGAGGGAAATGGAAGAACAAGGCAGATGGGAAAACAGTTAGGCAGGTTTGCCTGGGCTAAGTGGGACAGAGGTAAATAATGATGTATGCACAACCTTGGAACAATGGGCTCTGGGATACAGGGATTGAGACATGGCTGGAATGGGCAATAGGGGGGAAATATTGTTAAGATGCTTGGCTGTATTTTGAATCTTGGTTTCCCCTGTATACCATTATAAATTAGACACTGGAGCGGGAGAGAAAGGAATAGCCAGAAATATCACCATAGAACGCTTGTAAGTCCCTCTTCTGCCTATAACTGATTGGAATACCTAAAATGGGGCTACAACGTGCCCAGTGAAGTTGTCTTCCTGCGGAGCCTCTGCATTACATAAGACTATAGGTCGAATCCTGAACAGCATCCAGAATCTTCTGAGGTGGGATATTTCCACTTGAAAGGACAGGCAGACCAGCCTAGAGTGGCTAGAAGAACAAAAGATACTTCTTGAAAGAAAGACTGACAAAAAAAAAACAATATAGGCAGACTGACTACCACAAGAAGAAGCAAGTTGCTCGCCCATGAAACATCAAGGCAAGTAGTCGGGTCTCCTCAGAGCAAACCCCCTTCCAAGACTAAGATTCAATGGGAATACTGC